ACTTTTGAACTTGAAAATCAAAGTTAAGGACCAAATGTCCTTAACTTTTTAACTTTTTTAACTTATAACTTGAAGTTTAGGAATACCCGTCCTTAACTTTTTAACTTAATTTCTTTCACAGAATTTAAAGAAAGACCTAGGATCAAAGATTGATACTTTGTTGAAGATTCTTGTCAAACCTAATGAAAGGAACATTGAGAGAGAATCTATTGTTCCAAGTAGTAAAGATGTAGTTGACACAGAACCTATTGTTCCAATTAACAAAGATGCAAGTGATGATCAATGTGATGATACAGATGTGCATGCAGAAGATCATTATGAAAGCGATTATAGAGATGCGCATCTAGAAGATGAATCTGATATTGGCACTGAAATTGGGAAAGGTTAGATATAGATTTTGAATTTGTTGTCATTGAAATATATATTCAATAGCGTAATATATATCAATCTCAGGATTTGGAAAATCCACTGGGAACAAGTGTAAGTGAGATTGTATGCAAATGTGTTGAAGAAATATATGATCTTTCTACACCTCTCTCACTTAAAGAGAAATTTGGAATCCAAAATGATGCCAATCAAGGTTAGATGGAATTTTCATGATATGTTGAATGCTAGTTTTAGTAAACTATTAGTAAAAGGTATTAATTGTAAATGTTATAAAATCTTTTGAAGTTGCAAGGGAAGAAGATGGAGTGGACTATCAAGAGAGAAGTGGAGGACAATCTCAAGACTTAGAAAATACCCAAGGAACAAGCATAAGTGAGATTATTTGCAAATGTACAGAAGGAACATATGATCTCTCTACACCTCGCTCTCTTCCGACAATATTGGAAGCCAAGAAAATGCTAGTGAAGATAATGATTTAACTGGCATGATCTTGATAGTTGCAAAAGGTTAGATGGAGTTTTTTTAATTTTATACATGTTTTGTTTAATCAAAGATTAGTAATAATTACTAATTGTGTTAAATCTTGTAAATATTTTGCAGAATCTTGTGAACTAGCAATCGAAGATCATGGAGAACAGTTGCAAGATAAAGAAAATGCACAGTTGCAAGATAAAGAAAATGCAACAAATATGTCAGCTCAATTGTCTGTAGAAAAAGTACAAGAATGCAGCGTGGATGACACAAGTATTGATTGTGTCCTAAATATTATATTCATAATTGAAATTGCCAGTACATTTCAAAAATTATGTCCTTAGTTTTTGTCTCTTCATTTGACAATTCGTTGTAAAATTTACGACATGCAGAAAATTAATGTATATGTAGTGTTGTCTGCAGAGCAAAACAAAAATGAAGCCCTTAACCAATATACTAGGAAAAGGAAGAGAGATAGTTTTGATGGTCCATCATTTTCTATTCTTACTCCTACTCCTCCAACTACACAAAGTAGCATTGTTGAGGGTTTGTCTATGGAGGTTGAAGGATATGTTGAAGAAGATCCTGGTCGAGGGAAAATGAATAAGAAGCTTAGTTGGCAATTGAAATCTCCTTTTGAACAGGAAAGAAAAACAGGAACATCGATGCCGCACAATGAAAATACTCCCAAGAATACGGGCTGGATAAAATCAAAATATACTCGTAAATGTATTTTTCATTATGCCAAAGATGATACAAACTTATTGAAGAAATTCATTGGGTGGTTGAGCAAGGAGAAAAGGAAAGGTCGCAAAAAAGCGTAAGTCCCTAAATGTATTTCATTATTTGTTAATTGTCCTTAACTTTTGAGATTACAAGTCTAAGTTCAAGACCAAGTGTCCTTAACTTTTAAACTTGTAAATGTAAGTTCAGGACCACGTGTCCTTAACTTTTGAACTTGGAACTCAAAGTTAAGGACCAAGTGTCCTTAATTTTTGAACCTGTAAGTCTAAATTCAGGACCTTTTGTCCTTAACTTTTGAACTTGTAACTGTAAGTTCAGGACCAAGTGTCCTTAAGTTTTGAACTTGCAACTCAAAGTTCAGGACCAAGTGTCCTTAACTTTTGAACTTGGAACTCAAAGTTCAGGACCAAGTGCCCTTAACTTTTGAACTTGTAAGTCTAAGTTCAGGACCATGTGTCCTTAAGTTTTGAACTTGAAACTTGAAGTTCAGGACCAAGTGTCCTTAACTTTTGAACTTGGAATTCAAAGTTAAGGACCAAGTGTCCTTAACTTTTGAATTTCAAGTTAAGGACCAAGTGTCCTTAACTTTTGAACTTGTAACTCAAACTTCAGAACCAAGTGTCCTTAGCTTTTTGAACTTGTAACTGTAAGTTAAGGGCTGCCTGTCCTTAACTTTTGAGCTTCTTAGCCTAAATTCAGGACCTATTATCCTTAACTTTTGAGCTTTTTAGCCTAAGTTCAGGACTAGATGTCCTTAATTAGGAAATGAGGACTAATTTCTAACTTTGATATTTTCAAAATTTTTTGGGGAGAAACTGATATATTGCTGACGATAATGGTGTAAGAAAGAATCCATGTAAATTGTATCATCAAAAAATCAGTAGCAAAATGTTCTTCCTTGAGCTTTCAGATAATAACTTTGTACTTGATGATAAGGTTTGATAATTCGCAAGGCATTTATTTTCTTTATTCTTAATTTATTACTTTTTAGTTATTTATGACTGATGGATTTGTTTTATTTTTTTGGCTTTTTATGAAGCATATTGACATTGCCCTGTATTATTTGAGAAAGAAGGAATGCTACCACCCTCGCGCCCATCTTTTTCGTTGCACAACTACTGATATACTTTTTGATAACTATATGGTACTTGTATATAAGGATTTCAATGAATATGCTATAGATGAGTTTTGGTATGGTGATAATCAATTGTTTCTGATACCATATGTGTGGGGTGACAGTCATAGATGTGGAATTGCTTGGACAGAGGTTGACAAAATCTTTTTTCCATGTCGGCTTCCTTCAGAAGATGATGATGCTGTGACACATTTTCTTTTAGGGGTATTAGACTTGAATAAGAAAAAGATTGATATGTACGATTCCATATATAGTGAGCCATATGAGGCAGGAATGAATCACATTGAAATGTATGCACGCATGAACCCCCACTTGCTAAAGTTCTCACAGTTTGAGAAAAATCACAAGTCTTTTGAAAATGCATTCAACAAATTTGATATTTAGTGGCAAAGATCACCATACCAAACTGGATCGTACGTGTTGTCATTTGCTATATAATTTATATGTACTTTAGATTTATTTTATTAAAGATATTGTTTAATTGACTCCATATCTTATATTTTTCTTAGGACTGATTGTGGTGCATTCCTTATCAAGTATGTGGAGTTGTTGATGATGGGAAAGGATGTGGAGAAATTTCAACCTGAAGACATAACAAAATTTAGAAAAGAACTTGCAGCAAATCTTTTGGCACATGGAGAGTGGAAAAGAAATTCTGGTTATGATACACCACCAGAAAATGTCGGCGATGACTATGATAGTAAAATAAAACTTCCTATCCAAAGGAGTTGTAGTTTAGTTGTAAAGAAAGTTAGGTGTAGTTGATTATTTGTATAAAATTGCTGTAAAGAATCCATATGAATTCTGAAATAACTTGTAAATTGTTCACAAGGCACTTTTATTTTGTTTGCATAGTATAATTTTTGGTCACAACTATGCCAAATTACAGTTTCAGAAGTAATATGAAGGCATCATGTTATTAATTTCTTTGTTTCTGTAAAGTATTCATTTGTCCATTTGCAATCCCTAAATTATGTGTATTGAGCTTATAAGTATTAGTTAAGGACCAAATGTCCTTAACTTTTTAACTTGTAAGTCTAAGTTCAGGACCATCTGTCCTTAACTTTTGAACTTGGAATTCAAAGTTAAGGACCAAGTGTCCTTAACTTTTGAACTTGGAATTCAAAGTTCAGGACCAAGTGTCCTTAACTTTTGAACTTGGAACTCAAAGTTAAGGATTTTTAATTTGGAATTTCAAAGTTCAGGACCAAGTGTCCATAACTTTTTAACTTGGAATCCAAAGTTAAGGACCAAGTGTCCTTAACTTTTTAACTTGGAATTTAAAGTTTAGGACCAAGTGTCCTTAACTTTTGAACTTGAAATTCAAAGTTAAGGACCAAGTGTCCTTAATTTTGAACATGTAATTCAAAGTTAAGGACCAAGTGTACTTAACTTTTGAGCTTGGAACTCACACTTCAGGGCCAAGTGTCCTTAACTTTTGAACTTGAAATCCAAAGTTCAGGACCAAGTGTCCTTAACTTTTGAACTTGGAATTCAAAAGTTCAGTAATCAAACTTCAGGACCAAGTGTACTTAACTTTTGAACTAGGAACTCAAACTTCAGGACCAAGTGTTCTTAACTTTTAAACTTGTAAATCAAAGTGAAGGACCAAGTGTCCTTAAATTTTTAACTTGGAATTCAAAGTTTAGGACCAAGTGTCTTAACTTTTGAACTTGGAATTCAAAGTTAAGGACCAAGTGTTCTTGACTTTTGAACATGGAATTCAAAGTTAAGGATCAAGTGTACTTAATTATTGAACTTGGAAATCAAACTTCAGGACCAAGTGTCCTTAACTTTTTAACTTGGAATTCAAAGTTTAGGACCAAGTGTCCTTAACTTTTGAACTTTGAAATCAAAGTTAAAGACCAAGTGTCCTTAACTTTTGAACTTGGAATTCAAAGTTCTGGACCAAGTGTCCTTAACTTTTGAACTTGGAATTCAAAGTTAAGGACCAAGTGTCCTCAACTTTTGAACTTGGAACTCAAAGTTAAGGACCAAGTGTCCTTAACTTTTGAACTTGGAATTCAAAGTTAAGGACCAAGTGTCCTTAACTTTTGAACTTGGAACTCAAACTTCAGGACCAAGTGTCCTTAACTTTTGAGCTTGGAACTCAAACTTCAGAACCAAGTGTCCTTAACTTCAGGACCAAGTGTCCTTAACTTTTGAACTTGGAATTCAAAGTTTAGGACCAAGTGTCCTTAACTTTTGAACTTGCAACTCAAAAGAAACAAAAAGCACGTAAGCGCAAAGAAACTTTGAAAATTCAGACATCTGCTCAAATAAAAACAATCTAAATGAATCTAATTTATAGCAAAAACTTAAAAGAGTAGATAAACATAAGTGGATATATCTACTATTCTCTATGCTTCCTTGAAATGGATGGACTGCCGGAGAATATATACAAGTTGTTCTATTATGGCCAATTCTTCTGCAACGACCACATTTGAATGTTATTTTTGATGACTCGGTAGCTGGAATATGCCTTTTCTTCTGCTTTCTACCTGGTGGCACTTTGAAATCTGGAGGTTTAATAATTTGTGACTTAACACTCTCTGGTACAATCCAAGAATCATATTTCCTACAGGATGTATTTGTCTTTCATATGTTTTCAGCCAAGATTCCTTTAAGTACCAGTGCGAGCAAAAATTGGACTTCTTGATGTTTCTCTTCTCGATAGCTGCAATTGCATGTATGCATGGTAATTCATCAAATTGAAACTGAAAACAATCACATGTCCTTTTGTTTAAGTCCACCAAGAAAGTAATTCCTTCTTCCTCAACTCTAGAACGCCGTGAATCAACAGGGAAGACCTTCAATGTTGAAAAATTATAAGTTAGTACATTATGTTAAATTGTCATTAAAATATTAAGTTAAACAAAGAACATAATGCTTACATTCAAAGTAAATGCTAAATCTATCTTTTTCTTCAATTCCTCTTCTACCCAACAAGAAACGTCATAAAAAGTTCCTTCTGCTTCATTTCTTCTTTCATAAAACCAACGTTGTAGCTTTACTTGGATGAAATCCATCATCTTAATATAGGCATCTCCCTTGCTTCTAATAGCGCAGAATTCATTGACTCAACTATGTTTGTTGTGAGCATGTCATATCTTCGTCATGGACTACAAGAACATGCCCACCTTTCCGGTGGTTCTTCCATCAAGTAGTCATAAGTATTCTTATCTACTTTTGCTATATCTGACATGTATAGATCAAATTCTTTGCGCCTGTATACTCTTGCAGTACTTTGAAAAAGTTTTATGACCTCACTTTTCACTTTCCTTCGCTTTAGGTTCTGCTCCAAATGATAGATACAAATCCCATGGTGGTTTTCAGGATAAACCTTTGCAATGCCATATGCAATAGATTGATGCCTGTCTGATAAAAAAATTAAATTCTCACGACTCCCAATTGCATTGCGAAGCTCGCTAGAGTACCACTCATAGGAATTGTTATTTTCAGATTCTGCAATTCCAAAGGCTAGTGGAAAAATTTGGTTATTTGCATCCTTTGAAACTGAAATCATTAAAACACCACGAAATTTTGACTTCAAAAAAGTTGCATCAACAACAATCACTGGTCTACAATGATTCCAACCAGTTGTTGATGATCCATATGCATAAAACATATAAAGAAACCTAAAAATACAGTATAACATAAGGTTAACAGAAGTTAAGGACAGGTAGTCCTTAACTTAGACTACCAAGGTCATAAGTTAAGGACAACTAGTCCTAAATTTCAGGTTACAAGCCCAAAAGTTTAGGACATGTAGTCCTGAAGTTAGACTAACAAGCTCAAAAGTTAAGGACCAAGTGTCCTTAGCTTTTTCACTGCACACATCAAAGTTAAGGGCAGCATGTCCTTAACTTTTTCATTGGTTAAGGACAACACGTCCTTAACTTTTTTGCTGGTTAAGGACAGCATACCCTTAATTTGTTAACTTACAACTCTAAGTTAAGGACCAAATGTCCTTAACTTTTTCACTGCACACATCAAAGTTAAGGACCGCACGTCCTTAACTTTTTCACTGCACACATCAAAGTTAAGGACAACACGTACTTAATTTTTTTTACTGGTTAAGGACGACATGTCCTATAGTTTATAAAACAGACTAATAATCTCTTTTTTGATTGTTTACCTGTTGTTGTCGTCTATCTTTATGTTAGTATTTGTTTCCAGGTTTTTACTTTTCATCATATACAAGTATGAAGACAACAACAACAACAACAACTAACCCAGTTTGATCCCAACATGTAGGGTCTGGGGGGGGAGGGTAGTCTGTACGCAGACCTTACCCCTACCTAATACAGGTAGATATGTTATTTCCAATAGACCCTCGGCTCAGGAAGGGTAAGAAGAAGAAGAGGGAAGCAAGGAAGGAAAAAAGTATCCAATAATAGCAACACAGAATACAATACCTGAGGCGAACAAAACCATATAACGTAATAAAAATCAAAGAATATGAAGGGAAATGCATGCTACTAAGCCTATCGGTGAACACTATAAACTACCTACTAACCTTCTACCTTAATCATCGACCTCCACACCCTCCTATCAAGCGTCATGTCCTCAGTGAGCTGAAGCATCGCCATGTCGTGCCTAATCACTTCTCCCCAGTACTTCTTAGGCCTACCTCGACCCCTGCTCAAGCTCTTCATGGCCAACCTCTCACACCTCCTGACAGGGGCATCAATACTTCTTCTCCTAACATGTCCGAACCATCTCAACCGCGACTCACGCATCTTGTCCTCCACGGAGGCTACTCCCATCTGTCCCGGATAGCTTTATTCCTAATTCTATGTCGCCTGGTACACCCACACATCCATCTCAACATCCTCATCTCTGTTACACTCATCTTCTGCATGTGGGAGTTCTTGACTGGCCAATACTCAACCCCATACAGCATAGCGGGTCGAACCACCACTCGATAAAACTTACCCTTAAGTCTTAACGGCACATTCTTATCACATAGAACACCGGAAGCGAGCCTCCACTTCATCCACCCCGCTCCGATGCGATGTGTGACATCTTCATCAATCTCCCCGTTACCTGGATAATAGACCCGAGATACTTAAAACTCGCTCTCTTGGAGATAACTTGAGCATCAAGCTTAACCTCTATGTTTGCATCATGGGTCTCACTGAATTGCACTCCAAGTATTCTGTCTTGGTTCTACTCAGTCTGAAACCTTTAGACTCCAAGGTCTGTCTCCAAACCTCCAACCTCGCGTTAACTCCGCTACGCATCTCGTCTATCAACACTATATCATCAGCAAATAGCATGCACCAAGGCACCCCCCCCTTGGATGTGACGTGACAGTACATCCATCGCCAAGGCAAACAAAAATGGGCTAAGAGACGATCCCTGGTGCAACCCCATCACCACAGGGAAATGGTCCGAGTCACCACCCATTGTCCTCACCCGAGTCTTAGCATCATCATACATATCCTTAATCACCCTAATGTACGCTACTGGAACGCCGCTAACCTCCAAACACCTCCACAGGACCTCCCTCGGAACTTTATCGTATGCCTTCTCAAGGTCAATAAACACTATATGTAAATCCTTCTTCCCTGATACATGCTAGATGTGCATGCCTAACTATTTTCAAGTCAACATCATAGCATTATAGTGCTTTAAAGGAGTCAAGATGAAGAAGTCTATACTTATAATAATTGACTAAGCTCCTTAGAATTAACTTAGGGGTATTTGGGTCATTTGTAGCCAAATACCCACTCTTGTATAAATAGCCCTTAAGGCTTATATTTTAGGTAGACTTGATGAATGATAAACTTGAAGACATGCAAGTCTCACCCTTTATTCTTATCTTTTAATTAATGCATTTATGTTTATGCCTTTAATTTCTTTATTGCCTTCATTAGTGTTAAATTAGTCTTAGTTGGTGAGCAATTAGTAGTGAATGCTTAATTGCTTAATTACTTTATCCAAGTTTTCAAGAGTTGCCAATCTCTTGAGGGTTTCATAGCTGAGGGTTACAACTGATTGAGTTCATAGAGGTAATTAGGTTTCATATCCTAATTGGTTCTTGTTCTTCCAATCAATTGTAGGTCTAGCTCTTATGTTCATAGCTTAGGATTACAATTGATTGAGTTCATATAGGTAATTAGGTTTCATATCCTAATTGGTTCTTCTTCTTCCAATCAATTGTAGTTGTAGCTCTTATTTTTGATTCCGCGTGTTTTTGCTATATCCGTGTTTTCGTTTATAGTCCGTATCATCTTGGTATCAGATCGGATGTCAAGGATTTGTCTATCAATCCTTGGGTTTTGTTTTGATTATCATTAAATCACAAAATCACAAAAAAAAATTAAAAAAAAAGAAGAAAATTATTTTGGGTTACTGTTCATCCGTGCTCTGTTTTATTTCCAGAATTAGAACTTCGCTACTGTTCCTAACACTACTGTTCGAAATACCTTCTAAAATTCTGAAAACTTCTGAAGATTTGAGTATCGATCGATTTGTAGCTCGAGTAATTACTGGTTTGAGTTTCGATTGAAGCTGGGTTTGAGCTTCTGAACCCTAAGACAACGTGAACCAGAAGAGTTGAAAAATTTGGGGATTTGCTCCGAATCAAAATTTTGAGCTCGAAATTGATTGGGTGTTATTTCTATTCGTTGTTAACGTGATTCTGAACTCGTGATTGAAGATTGAGATCGATTTGAGCTGATTTTCTAGGGTTTTGGGTCGAAAATTTGAACCGATTGTGCGAAGAAGAAGACGACCTAGGGTTCGTCGATTTCATGAGTGTTTGAACAAATTGATTTTGGAATTCTGTTCGAGCTGTTGTCGAGAGTTTGTGGCTAGAGTTTGGGTCCAGTAGAAGACGTTTTGAGTGAGGTTTACTAGAAGAATTTGAGTCGAGATTGAATCAGTCGAAGAACACTTGTTTCGATTAAAGAACTTCTCGAACTGATTCGAGCAGTTGGTAAATCGAAGAAGAACATTTGTAGAGCTGATTCGAATTACTTGTAGGTTGAAGTATTTTTGGAGTCAATTCTCTCAAGAAGACGAAGAACAGCTGCCACTGATTTGCAACTAAAAAATTGCAGCTATGTTCTCCATTTTCTAGGACTCGTTTGCAATTGAATTATCGCCACGAACTTCAATTCATTCATCGCAACGATTCAGGTTTTGATTTGCACAACTTTGCTGCCCAGTTGCTGCATCTGTGAGCTGCTGAAACCTGGAGTTTTGGACTAGCATTAGAGCAAAGAAATCTGCCCTGTTTCTGCAGTTTTGGAACAACATCAGAGGACTGAAATTTTCTGCCCAGTTTCAACTGTTTTTGGTGCTTCAGCTACTGCACAGTTTGAGCTGAATTTCTGCCCTGTTCAGCTGCAGTTTTCTGGATAGTTTGGACAGAGATTTCTGCACTATTATTTCTCCATAGTTTGAGCTGGTTTTCTGCACAATTTGAACTAAACAGGTCTGCTGAGATTTGCACAATATTCTACACAGTTTCTCCACCAATTCGAGTTGCTGAAATTTGCAGCTTGGGACATCATTTGAGCTAGGAAATCAGTAGCATTGGGGCAGTGTTTGAGAGCAAATTTCTGCGCTGTTTCTCCCCTGATTGAGCTGCTGAAAATCTGCAGTTTTGGACAAGAGTTTGAGCTGAGGATTTAGGTGCTTAGGAAGGGATTTGAAGCTGGAAAATTGAAGTTTCGAGAAAGAAAATCCAGCAAATTGCAACAAGTCCAGAGAGGAGTTCAGAAGTTCAGAAATTGTTCTGTCCAGTTTTCTCTTTTCTTTCCCGTTAATCTTTTCTTCTTGTTTGTTAATTCTCAACTAAATTAACTTGATATTAGTTCATATTGAGTTTAATTCTAGTTTCTTTGTGTGCTTAACTTTCTTTCGTGCAATTGTTTCGTGCTTTTGTCTTTTAATTTTGTTGTGAATTGCTTGGTTCAAGTCCGTTTGCTTTTAATTGTCTGTCCTTGTGAATACACAACTTTCGCTCCACCCCGAAGACGGTTGGAACTTGTTGTGAAACCTTGAAACTTAAGTTTGCTAGCAATTTTGACATTCACTACTTGAGCGGGAAAAGGCAAGAGCGAATAGGATTTTGAGCACGCAAGAGCCAATTGGTGCAAAGTGTGATACACGAGGGTTGAGCGACATCAAGTGAGTTGGTGAGGACTTTTAATACTAACTTGTTTGCTCATTTTGTAGGTATCATGGAGTACGGACAAACTTCTACTCCTAATTGTGATCCATGGAGTGAGACTCCGATGCATGATGTTGTTTCTATGCTTTATGACATAAGCGAGAAGGTTACCAACTTAAGTGAGAAGGTTACCAATATTAGCATACGGCAACACCAAACGGATGCAAGGTTGAATTCCATGATAGAGGAATCTCACTTGAGGCAACAAGGAAGGGAGCGTAGTATGACGCTTACTAATTCCTCTACCACACTCTCTCCTTCACAAGTGCGACAAATGCTTCAAAGGGAAAATTTGCAACACAACCAACCCGACCAAATACCACAAAACTTACCAAAGCGGCCACATTCACCAAAGGGACCTTATTTTCCTCCACCAACTACCGTCCACCTACCAACTACCAACACAAACCACCATTTAGACCTCAAGCACACATACCCATAAAACCACCACCCCAAATGACCCAACCTAGACCACCAATGAACCTACCTCCCCAACGTATGCCTCAAGCACCACCAAGGAGGGACAATCTCCCTCCTCCACCACCCATACCACCTCAAGAGCCTCGAATGATTAACAACCCACTTTTTCAACATGATCGTGAGACCACCTTGAATGAGTTGGACAACGTCCAATAAGTTTTCCATGATAAATATAGGGGGAATAAAGTGAACCAAAAGGGAAGAGGCCAAATGAGTTTGAGAACATCCTTGAAAAATGCAAAGAGAAAAGTAAGGATGAGAGAAAAAAGATAGAGAGAAGTAAGGGAGAGAAAAGTGACAACTCTAGAGTGGAAAAAGGAGAGAAAGTGTGGAGTGAAGTGAGTGAGTTGTCACAAGAAAAGAGTGAAGAGCTTGAAAAGAAAATGAGAAAAGAAAGAGGGAAAACAAAAAGAGAGTGAATATTTTCCTTATTCTAATGCTAATAACCTTTCTTCTTTCTCTAGTTGTTTTGTATCTTGTGAAGGAATTTTTGTAGATGAGCCATCAAGTGAAGTTCAATCTACTTTAATGAACTTGGAAGAAGATCAAGCTACCTTTTCAAGAGAACTTTTGAAATTTAATGAAGAAGATCAAGGTAAAGAGAATTTCACTTTAGAAGAGCTTCAAGGTAAAATAGTTTATCCTTCATGATACTTTAGTTGATTGTGGCGACACTTTGAGTTTGAAAGATAGCTATGACATTGATGAGTTTGATACTTCTTTATCTTGTAATGAGAAAAATAGTTATGGCTTGCAACTAGATAGGAGTTCTTGTGCATCATTGGATGATTCTAGTTCTTTGTTTAATGGCTCCTTAGCTAGTGATGTGTGTGATGTTGAATCTTATGATACCCCACCTTTATGGGATGATGCATGTGATGGTTCTTTTGACTCTACTTTAACTTTGATGGAAGATAGTTTTGACCTTTATGGAGTAATGAGTCAAGAAGAATGTGTTGATGATTCTTTTGATTCTATTTTCATTCCTTTGGCAAAAAGATTCAATTTTTGTGGTGAAATGAGCAAACGTGAGTGTGGAGATGCATTGTTGGAGAGTGAACCATTTACTTATAATGACATAAATATAAAAGAAGAAAACTT